CGCTGTGAGTTCAAGGCCCCCGGAGACCACACAGTGGGTTCAGGCAAGAGGAGTGCTGTGAGTTCAAGGCCCCTGGAGACCACACAGTGGGTTCAGGCCTAGCATCAACTGCACAATGAGACCCTGGCTCAAAAACAAGTACAAACCAGCAGCCAGTACAGGAAAGGCCTCTGTGATGTGCTCAGCTCTCTGAATGACGCAGACATCCCGGCAAGGCCCTGCAGAGGAGGTGCTGACCACCAGCCTGCCTGCCCCCCCACCGCGCCTCCCTTCCCTCCCCACTGCCCTGCCAGGAGGGCCCTGCTCCTCGCTCATCCCAGACCAGTCCTTTCAAGCCCTGCAGCCCCCAGCCACGCAGTTGCTGCCCTCCTGGGCCTGCGAGACAGGTCTCGTGTCCTGCAGTCAGCACCCGGGGCCCAACACGGGTGCAGCTGCCACGTGGCAGATGTTAGCACCAAGAGAGGTACACCCTTGTGCCCTGGCACCCCAGGTGGCCTACACAGGGGAAGGGGGAACTGGAGGGTGACACCAGCTGCAGGCCTGGACACTAGGGGCAGCCGTGGAAGCAGAGTAGCCATGGGCAGGGTGGCAACTACAGAGCCACCCAGGGGACATGGGGATCAACCAGTGTCCACACCGCTGCCCAGGCCAGCCAGAAACAGGGGCAGGTCTGAGCCACTCCATCCAGGCAGTATCTTTACTATCTCAACTGCACTATGAGAAAAAAAAGAGAAGGAGTGGGGGGTGAAGGAGGGAAGGTGAAGGAGGAAGTAGTGGCAGAAAACTCGGTCAACACTGCCCTAAACTTTGTCCCAAGACATCCAGGAACCTGACACCCCCACCTCCCCACCCTCCCCCAGGCCCCACCCACCCCCACCTACACACACACACACACACACACACACACACACACTTCAGGCATTGTCACTTGCTCAGGACAGCTGGCTTCTACCTAAGACTGCCTTTGGAAATAAAGTACCAGCCACAAGCCGGGCTTTGTGGCACTGGACCTGCTGCCACAATGTTCCTGCAGGCCTGGGATGCACTGGCCCCCAGAGCCAAGGAGCCACACGCCTGAGCCCACCCCCACCCCCCGCTCCCAGCCTACCTCCCCGAAGACAATCCTGGGCGGCTGCCGCGCAAGCTGCTTAGTCGGCTTCACTGTGGTTCTCCACGTCCTCCCAAAGAAGTGTCGGTAAGTGATGTCAAAGAGAGACACTCGCAGATGGCACTCGACCTCCGACAGCATCTCCAGCGCACCCTAGAAGACAACAGGAACAGGCCCTGAATGAGCCCTGTCACAAGCTGCCCTGGGGACACTGAGCGGCCACCTGGCACTGGGACATGGGCACCGCCCCACTATGCAGTCATCCGCAGCTCAATCTGCTCTGGTCTTGGTGAGGTTACAGTCAGGGTGCGCAGCTCTGACTGGCCAATCAGAGCGCTGATGTTCTCTGGACATCGGTGACACGGGCTCAAGGTGTGCCCAGAGCCAGCGAGATGCAAGGGGCCAGCACTGTGGAGACGGAGGTTCAGCCGGGACAAGGGCCTGCAGCTGTGGCCACTGACACCAGGCAGAGGCAAGAAAGCCAGGACAGATCACAAGAGACCCCAGACCAAGCCACATTTGAAGCTCCCAAAAATTTGGGTTCTGAGTTAACCATAAGCCCCTTTAGTTTTGGGGTTTTTTTTAATGATTTGCACCTAAGTGACTTCGTCCTGATATAACCAGCAGCACTTAAAGCCACAATATGTCAGGATTATTGGGGGCAGCATTAGCAAAGCGGATGCTGGGGGGCAGCGAAGTCATGGCTGTACATGCAGAACGGAGCTGCTGTGACTCACATGTGGACTCACTTCCAGCGCGTTTCCAGCTTGGCCCCCAGGCCTTTTGAAGCTGGTTACGACCAGCAAGGCACAGATCTCCCCTGCAGCAGCGTCTCTGCTCCTCTTCCATTCTTATTTAATAACCATTCGCTGAACGCCCACTATGTGCCCACCCTGTGCCAGGCTCTGGGGGCGCAAGGGGGATCAAGACCACATCTCAGTCCTGGCAGGGGTTCACACAAGAACAACGGGGAGAGGACAGAGACAGGGCCACAGCAGGTGATGCTGAGGGGGAAAGTCTGAGCCAGGACCCAGGAGAGCACAAGGGCTGGGAACTTGGCAGGAGGCAGGTGGAGCACGGCAGACTCCCAGGCCACAGAGCAGGAGGGCACCTGGGTGCCAAGGACCAGTGACAAGTGCACCATCTCTGCTGTGTGATCCATGTCCTGGTTTTCTGTGTTGTCAGCACTCAGGCTTTGGAGTCTTCCTATAAATGTGACCTGCCTATAAGAACACTGTGTGCGTGTGCATGCATGTGTGTGCGCGTGCGCAGGTGAGTGTGTCACTGAGGCCCCAACCTAGGGCCTCTGGATTGAGGTCTCCTCTACTTTGCAGAGAAGGGATTACTAAATGGCCCAGGCTGGCCGCAAATTTTCAATCCTCCTGCCTCAGCCTCCCGAGGTGCTGGGATTATAGGCATGCGCCAATTGCCCAGCTCTTTACACAGTACCTCTCTGTGGCCCCAGTGAGCATGTGAACAGTGACCTGGGCCTGGAACGCTGTCCCCTCCTCCGCCCACAGGCCGGGCTCTCAGTTCCTGCACCTCCGACCTGCTTGGGCATCTGTCTCCTCCCCTCTCCATCTTCCAGCACCCCTCACCTCCTCACCCCCCTCCTGGCATCACCCCAGGGAGGTCAGCCCCAGGTAGGGCTCAGACTTTGCCCCAGACGCCAGGCTCTCCAGCTCCGCGCAGCCCTGGGCCCAGACCCTTGCCGCTGCATCTCCAGACCCGGCTCCGCACCTGGCTAAGGGCTCAGGGACGGGACCTGAGGCAGAGCCACCTACGTGTCTCCCCAAGCCAAGCAAAACAGGTGCCCAATAGATATCAAATGGAATCAAAGCATCTGTCCCCAGGAAAGAATCAGCGTCCAGGAAAAATTAAGCCAAAAAACTAGGTGGGGCAGGAGGAGAAACACACAGAAATAGCCACAAAGTACCTGAGCTCAAATGCAGCGTGGGACCTCCCGGCCCAACACCTCCCTCGGAGAAGCCCTCCAATCTCACCGCATCCAGAACTTCGGACACTCATAAGGCGAGCCAAGTCAGGTCTTCTTCCCTGACGTGTTTCCGACCGTACTGTGCTACGTGCCGCATCTTCACTGTTTTCGTAGAATCTACGCTGCATCTCTCTGTGAACTCCGCTAATCCGGGTCCTTTATAGATATGCTGGCATGATGCCTGCATTTTAAGGCTGTCTGTGTTCCTACTATTGAGAGACAGACAGCTGTCTGTATTTTCTCCCCTGCCCTTGCCCAGCTAGGGCAAGGGAGCCACCAGGCCCTCAAGAAATGAGTCAGGAAGCCCCCCGGGGAATCTGTCTCTAGGCCACTATTTCTTCCTTTAATGTTTGTTGAAATTCAACACTACGTTTTGAGTGCCCGTCAGATACGCCCTGTTTCTGGCCCCCTTCGCAGCCCTGAAGTCAGCCTTGCTTTGGTGATCACTGCAAGAACCGGCTTCCAACTCCCTTGCTGTCCTTCCCCTGGCAATGCCCGGGCGGCTTCCGCTCCCCTCGATACCTGTCTGCGCTTATCACGGCTTTGGCGTCTCTCTTCTTTTCTCACACAAGTTACAGAAAGCTACACATCTCCATCAAAGGGTTGCCATTACCCACAGCTCATGAATTTTTATATCTTTTCCCATTACTCGGTTCAAATTAATTTTGAATTTCTCCATGAAGTCTGCCTGGGCTGAAGGGTTGTTTGGCAGTGTGTCAACTCCCTACGATCAGAGGATTTTCCAGGCCCGTCTGCTGGTCTTACTGCTGACTTCCACTTCAGTACCGCTGTATCTGCAGGCATTCTCGCCATAATCTCCACCCTTTTCAATGTTTTGACATTTCTGTAGCCCAGCACATGGCCTCTCATTGAGTGGTCCACACACACTTGCACCCTGCACTCACGGGGGTGGGACTTAAGAAATGCCAATGTAGTTGACAGTTTCCAATCCTTTTTTTCTTTTTTGATCTGTATGTTCTATTGATTAGCATGAGAGAGGAGGAAAGTCTCCAGCCATGGCTGTGAATCTAACACACAGGCCCCCTCACCTCTACCCAGTTCTGCTCCCAGCACGGGAGCTGAGGTCTCAGAAGGCTCCGTCTGCGGGAGCTCGCAGCGCCGAGGCTGCAGGGACACCGGGCTCTGCTGAATGCCTGCTCCGCTTCTGGGAGTCTGGCGTGCGCGCACACACTGGGGCGCATCCCGACTCCTGGCTGGGGCTCCATCCACCCCCTCCAAAATGAATAAATCAAAGGAAAGCAACGCTCCCTCATCCCTACCCCTGCGCTTCACCTTGAAATCTTTGTCAGATGCTGGCGTGGTCACTAGATCTTTACACTTCATACTTACACGGTTTTTCCTCCATTTCTTTTTTTTCCAGGTGCTTCTCATTTCAAACAAAGAACTGAACAAAACCAGCAAAAACCAGTGGCAAAGTTTATGTGAACAACTAAAAGTGAAGAAGGCCAACCCAAGAGCTCAGAGGACTAAAACGCCGGCTTAGGCAGAGCGCAGCGGCCGGGGTTTAATCCCCTTCGTGCCATGCCAGCCCCGCCCCCAGGGCATGCTGAGACAGGGACTGAGATTGGGCATGGTGGCACACGTCTGTAATCCCAGCGCTTGTTACACTGAAAACAGAAGGGTCACTTCGAGTCCGATCTATGTAATGAGACCCTGTAGACCCTGTCCTAAATACAGAAAAATAAATAAATAAAACAAAATAAAAGTGAAGAAAAGAGAAACTGGCTCTGCAGAGCAAGCTTGGGCCAGGTAGAATAGGAACAAGCAAGATCAAAGAACATTCTGGAGGGCCACGGATGTAGCTCAGTGGCACAAGCGCCTGCCTGGCAAAGAGCAAGGTCCTGAGTTTGATTCCCAAAAATAGTTCCCAAAAGAAAAGAACATCCTGCAGAAAGCAAGGCGGGCTACTGTGAAGAAAGCCATGAAAGCTTTCTCCCGTTTCTTCCTTCTAATTTGTCCTTTTTTTCAAACATACTTTTTAAAAATAACATATAATGTACTCTTAAATGCTAAATTGTAACATATGGGTTTGAATCAGAGATTCCACTTGCAAAATTATTCTACAGATTTTTTTTTTTTTTATTCTACAGATATTTTTTAAAGGTGGAGATTAGTCATAGAAGAAGTACATATAACAGAAAATTAGTGACCCAGTCTAGTCTTCATCAGTAAGGATGATGTGATTTGGATCAAAAACGTCTCCCCAAAGCCTCCTGTGTTCAGTACTGAGGCTCTAAAATGATCAGACCCGGGCGCTAAACTGCGTGAGAGTGTAATCCACCGGCGGATACCTGAACGCGGTGAGGAGGTGGAGCCTTATTGGAGGAAGCAGGCCGCTGGGGGCGGGGCCTGGAAAGGCACAGCCTTAGCCCCGCCCCTTCCCTCCCTCCAGCTCTCTGCCTGCTGTCTCCTGGCTCCCCGAGGGAGCAGCCCTCCTCGGCGGGACCCCTCCCCCATGATGTTTGCACCCCACCACAGGCCTGATCGCAACAGAACGAGCGACCCATGGACTGTAGCCTCTGAAACAGGAGCCAAAGGAAACCTCTTCTCCTTTAGGCTGTTTCTCTAAGGTATTTTGTTACAGTGGTAGGAAGCCAAATAACTCAGAGGGCCCAAGGAAGTGATGGCTCATCCCTGGCAAGAAAGAATGAGAAGTCTCTTCCTGTAATAACATCAGCAACTTATAAAATATATTATTGGGCCGGCCAGATTGCTCAGCAGACTAAAACGCCTGCTTAGGAAGGCACAGGAACCAGGGTTCGATCCCTGGTGTGCTGAAGCAGTGACTGAGACTGGGTGTGATAGTGCGTGCCTGTAATCCCAGCGCTTGGGAGGCTGAAAACAGGAGGATCACTACAGGTCCGAGCTGTGTAGTGAGACCCTGCAGACACTTACTAAAATACATAAAAATAAATAAATATATATATATATGTGTGTGTGTGTGTATGTTATTAAGAGTATCTTTTTATAGAATAGGTACAGGGCCAGGACTGCTGGTGCACACCTATAATACCAGCACTCGGGAGGCTGAGGCAGGTGGATAGCCATGAGTTCAAGGCCAGCCTGAGCTATGCTGGGAAACCCTATCTCAAAAAACCTAAATAAGTAAATACATACATACATACATACATACATAGAGGATATAGAAAATACGGTAAGCTATCATTTACTTCTTCAAAAGAAAAAATATCTAACAGTGTATTTATATGTTATATTTGCTTAGGATTTCTAGAATGTACAAAAACACGTTGACAGAAGCTGTATCACAGTGGACACCAAGTTCCTTGGGGACACAAAGGATGATCCCTTTCCCTGTGTCCTTGCAAATTTCGATCTATGTGCACTACCTTTTCAAAAAGAAAATAAAACAGGAAGGGAGCCCGGGCCAGGAGCGCCTTTCCCCGGATGGCTGGCTGCATGCTCCTGGACACCATTTCTTTCCCATGGGCAGGCAAAGCTGTCCCCTCTTTCCCAGGGCTGCAGTGAGGGGCGTAAGAAACAGCACAATAATGAAGTGCAAGGAAATAAAGCCGTGAACGCGCAGCTTCCGGGTGCCGACACAGGGCAGGGGCCTGCAGGGCCAGACCGAGGGTTTGCAGTGGGCCAGTGGGGCCCTGAGTGACTTAGTCACCACTGAGTATTCACAGGCCTCGCACTCCTGCCACTCCCCATGTACACAAGTAGCTTCTGCAGGCTGCAGGGGAGGGCCGTCTTGGAGAGCCTCACTCTGGAACACACGGCTCACGCCGACTCACTCGAGGGCCTCCCAAGGACATCCAACCACATGCACATCCTGCAGGAGGCAGCAAGAAGCGCACTCACAGCAGCTCAAGGGCACAGGTGGCTGCAGGGCCAGCAGGGCCAGCAGGGCCAGCAGGGCCAGGAGGACTCAGGCCTGCATGCGCAGGAGGCTGTGGTAGCTCAAGCCACAGATGGAGCCGCCTGGATAAAAAGAACTTTGCAGCTGTACTGCTGCCTGCCAGGATGACAGGGAGCCAGGCCCAGGGGCACACAGGGTCACCTCTTGTAAGCCATCTGGCTCAGACGTAGCCCTGGAAATCAGCTCCCTGGGCTTGCACAGCACTCCACTGTAGGCAGAACAATCCCTCCGCTGGCGGCCAAAGTGCTGACCCAGCTGCTGAGTGCTGTCCTGGGTGCTGATGGGCCACTTTGCCTCTGGGCACTGCCAAGGCCCAAGCAATGGGCATGGCGATGAGACTCGGGAGGTAAGTGAAAATCAATGGTAACTGGAGACCTCCTCTCAGCCGAGAGCAGCTGACAATGAATAGCAAACTTCATTACCTGCTTAATTAGCGGCCCATCCAGCCACTTCAGGACACACTGAAACGCAGTGGACTCCTTTAGAAGCTGCCGGGCTCTCTGCGGATGCGGAGGGACAAGAGCATTCTGGGCAAAGATCTTATTCCAGTCGCTCATTCTGCTCGCCTGATCCTCTCCTGGGCCTCAGGGTCACCTGCGCCAAAGGAAGAAAGACCATGTCATGGCCTCAGTGCTCAATTCCCAAGCTCCACCCCCAAGCCCATGCTGCAACCCCAGGGGAGCCCCAGCACTGCAGCCCACGCAGCTGACCCACAACCGCGAGGCCTCGCCTGGGAAACGTGCCCTCATCTTCCCACAGGCCCCACCCACCCCCTTTCATGGGCCAATCAGAACACAGCTACACTGACTTCATGACTGACTCAGGGACGGCACTGCCTTAGCTACCTTTCTTAATGCTGAGACAGAATACCTGACGCCCCAAGTTAAAGGGGGAAGGTGTATTCCGCTCACAGTTTGTAGAGTTTTCAGTTCATAGTTGGCTGGCCCTCAGGCAGGGTAACACAGCAGAGGGGCACCTCGGAGGAGAAACAGTTCATAGGAAAGCAGGGCAGGCAGAAGGCAGGAAGCAGCAAACTATGAGCGACCCTCTTCCTGTCCCTTCTATTTCAACCAGGCTACCTGCCCTTAATCCTAGCATCACACTGGGAATCAAGCCCACTGTCACATCTTTGGTCCCAGCAGCACACATCCCAGATGCGGCCATCTCCAAAAGGCCCCACCTATGACCGTGAGGCTTTGGGGCTCATCTAGACACAAACCGTAACAGGTACCACAGGAGAACACAGGTGAGAGGCAGCTTAAGCCCACGCTAGTGCGGGGCTGGCTTGGGGGCCATATGGCAGGGCCCAGTCAGCGCCAAGGATACACAACACTCATTCAGAGAGGAAAATACGGCCCTTGGAGAGAAACTATCAGTCTGGAACCACCAGCGGCATCTTGCAAGCAGCTACCGGATGTACCCATCAAAAAGAAAGAACAACTCCGGAGCCCAGCCAGTGGGTGTAGAGGTCACCCTAAAGCCAGCCACCCAGGACAACTCGTGACCCCACCCCCACAGGCCACTGGACTTCCGCTGGGCTGCCACACTTGGACCTGGACAAGGACCTTCACCTCATAGAGACACGGTGGCCAGGAGAAAGTGCAAGTGGGGTATCTCTAACAGCCACTCCCTCCCATAGTGTCCCCGGACCCTCAAGGCCAGCACTAGCTCCCTACAGAGGGGCTGGAGCTGCCCTCCGCGTTAAGCTCACCACCACCCACAGCCAGAGACACCAGGAAAACTGAACTCATGACACTCGGCCGCTCGGTGTGCAGATTCAGAGTCCGCATGCAGGCACCGCCCTGGCAACCTCAGGGAAGGTGGCCACCAAGGAGGCCTTGGGATGGGGCTGCCAGCGAACACGTGCTTTCTGCTTGTCTGTCAACATCCTTTTACTCAGAGTGACCGAGAGGCAGCCACACTTCCTTAGGCCGGGACCCTCGGCAGACACTGGGGCCCTCAGCAGACACCTTCTCCACCAGAGTGAAGACAGCCTGTCACATCAAGGAAGTGAGGCAGCAACGGCAGGCGTCAGGGGCATCTGTAGCCTCCAGCAGAAGCCTGGCAGCTTCCTGCTTCAGGACTTTTCTGAGGAGATGGGCCGTGACAGACAAGCTCGGTCCTCAGAGACAGCGGCGGAGCGTCTCGGGATGGCAGGGTCAAGTACCTCCCTGAACCACGATGCTCCAGGCAGCAGTGTGCGGCGGTAAAGAACTGGGCAGGAGACGCCAGCTGGGAAGGGCGGGACCTTCCGGAACCACTGCGTGTGTGCGGGTGACAACGGCTGGGGCCTTCCAAGCTTCTGCCAAAGCAGCACAGACACGTGGGGACACAGCTCTCTCTAACATCTCAGCAAGAACACCAAACCGCCCCCTCTTCATGCCAATTTTTTGTTCTGGAAAACATAGCTTTTCACTTTTTAGAGAGTCCTTTTTTTTTTTTTTAATGTTGATATTAACAGGTTTACTGTTATTTTTTAACAAATTTGTGTTTGTAACATTTCTCTCTGGCTGAGGAGATAGCTCAGTGGCTTAAGTACCTGCCTGGAAAACGCAAGCAAGGTCCTGAGTTCGAATCCTGGTACCAAAAATGGGGGGTCCTTTAAAGAAACTTCTCACATTTGATTTCCAATACAAAAAAAACCAACAACCACAGCTCACATAAGCAAGACCTCTTGGGATCTTCAGTAACTTTTTTAAAAACAGAGAGGTCTGAGACCCTGAAGTCTGAGGGCTTAGGGGAGTGTAGTAGGTGGAGAGTGAGAAAGGACATGCTGGCCATGGGATGTCCCCTGGCCTCAAGGGCCCTGGTCCGGGGTCCTGCCCCTCCAGAAATGCACCTTGAAGGCCATGTGCACCGCAGAGGGCAGAGTCAAGCCCTTACCGTGGGAACGCGGCTGGCACACAGCTTGGCTGGGTTTTCTCATTCATCATGGGCTGCTGTTTCTCAAAACCTGTCTCATCCCGCAGGAGCCTCACCATGTTCCCTGCACTGGTTCTGAGGAGGGGGTGGACCCCACCACACCACCAAAGACAAAGTCCTTCCGGGAACTCAGCCCAGCTACCTGCTGCAATGCCCACAGCCGCCCAGGCCTGGCTACCCTGAACCTCAGGGCTCCCTGGGCACCACAGAGGCTGGGGAGAGGAACTCCAGGAGACTCCCAGGACTGTGAGGGGGAAGGCAAGCGTAGGTGGACAGGGCTGAGGGCGGGAGGTCCCCCATGCCCCCTACAGCAGAGCAACACCCCCACCAAAGGCCCCAGAAACTACTCCCCTCCTCCAAGTGCTCAGTAGTGGCCTCCACAGATGCACTCCTGTCCCTAAGCTATCTCAGGGTAGAAGGCACTCTCCACGCGTGACTAACACATGTCCTCAAGATGGAAATCATCCCAGGCCACGAGGGACTTTATCAGACACCGGCAGGGAGGGGTCAGAAAAGAGCCCAGGTGCCCACAGAAGCAGCCTGGAGCCAAGGGATGGGGTAGGGGGCGCTCTGGAAAGTGCTCCCCTAGCGCCTCCAGAAGGGATCTGCCCTGCCCAAGCCTGCAGTTAACCCAGAGAGACCAAATCTGAACTTCAGATCTCACTAACTGGAGAAGAATAAATCTGTGTCATCTCAAGCCATGAGTTCATGAGATTCTGCTGGCAGCAGCCCCAGGAAACTCAATGTCCACAACCTGCATGCAGAAGCGGCCTGACCAGCACGCAGCCAGGGGGCGCTTTCTCCAGGAGGGGCTCCTAGACGTCCCTGGGGCCCACCTCCCTGGCTCCCAAGACCCTGGCGTGGTTGCTGGTCACAGCACTGGCCACTCAATGGCTGGCTTTTGGCAGGAGGACTCCTCATCCTCCCGCATCCTTGGTGCCCCTCACCAGAGCTCCTTCAACAGCCACAGCTCCACACCAAGCCTCCGGTAGGGCGGCCCTGGAGCTCTGCTGGGTTAGTATCCTGATGCAGCGTTGTCTCCCAGGTACCCTTCAGGATGAAACAGAGATAGATGCATGCACACCCACTTCCTGTCCCTGGAAGGAAGGCTGCGCCACACAGGCACCCAGTGACCTACTCACCAGCTTCCAGTGCCACCTCTGGCCAGCAGATGCTGCTGAAGAGCAAGCTTTGCCCTGATCCTCCAGTACCCTCAGACCAGGCTAGAAAGGAAGGGTACACCATAGAAGGCCTAGCCTCCACTGGGAACCTCAGAGCAGAGAGGGATAGCTACAGTCTGAGGGAAGGGTGACACCTGGGACACCTGGGGTAGGTGCCCAGACAGCCAGCGACTCTTAACCCACCCCACCCAACCCACCTCCTTAGGGTAAGCATGGGTCCCCATCTCCACCTGCTTCCCACCGAGATCCACAGAGAAATCACAAATGCACAGAGCCGTGCATGTAACGCTGTCCTGGAGGACCATAAACTCTACAGCAAGAATGTCCAGTGATTGAATTGGAATGCCCTGTAGAAAGGCAGGGAGGACCACTGGGCGTTGAACATCAGAAAGGGACCCATGCTTTAAAGAACCAAAGAATGGACTTTCTGGGGGATAAAAAGGACAGGCATCAGCTTTTACTAAGCACCTATCTTGAGCCAGGAACTCAAAGGCATTTCCTTAATTATTATTCCAACAACTGAGAGATAAATAACATCGCTGTGGCATCCCACAGAGGAGACGAGTGAGACTCGGGTTCAATGGCCATCCCGTGACAACGTAAAGCTATGCTACCTCTGTCTTGATCCCAGCCCACCGACCAAGAGAAGGCAGGGAGACGAGATGCCCCAAAGTGAGGGTGACAGGACAGGGGAAGAGCCCAGGATCAGGCTGGTCCTCTGATCTCCCCCACTACAGGAAAGATGTTCTCCTTCCTATCTGTTTCCAATCTACAAAACGAGGACTGTGAAGTCTTCATGTCTCCAAATATTAGACAAGTAATAATGAAATGCAAGCACCCATCCAGTTCCACACACAGGAGGCTGTCAAAGGCCTCATCTCCAAGAATCTGAAACTCCAGTAAGGAGAGAAAAAAAAAAAAAAAAAAAAAAAACTCGGGGCATGAGTAAGCCTCACAGCAAGAGGTCTACTAACCCCGCCCCCCCCCCATTGGGAGAAAGGGCAGGGTACCAGGCGGCCGGCCAGAAGAAACCAACTAGGCTTACTACACACACACACACACACACACACACACACACACACACACAGATTCCAGGGGAACGGAGGAGCAGGAGAGCTGCCCTGGGAAGCCTGCTTGCCAGGACTGGGTCATCTGGTTTTCCTTAGGCCTGGGCACTAGAGGAGGTCTAAGCACTGGCTGCGTGGCTTTCTTCACCCTGAACCACACAGCGGGCAAGCTCGCCGCTCCCGCAGGATGCTGTGCAGCGCAGCGGGGCCAAGACAGCACACCTGAGCTCGCAAGCCGAGCCGTGGCCCAGGAAAGGTGCACAGGTGAGCTGTGACGGGGACCCCTTCCCCCGCGGCCCCCAACACCCGCCCTCCTCCCACAGCACTGCGTGGGGCTCGCTGCCTTCGCAGACTTCCACGCGGGCCTCGCGCGCGCCAAGCCGAGAGCAGGGCTAGACGCGGGACAGACCGCCAGTCTGGGCGGGTCGGCGGGACAGGCAGGGCCTCGGGGTGCGTGGAGGGCCGCAGGAGCTCCGGGCCGGCTGGGGAAGGATGCGCACTTACGAGAGCTGGACACTGACGCGACAGCCCCACCGGCCCCACTACCCCCGCGCCGGCCTCGCTTCCCGGGCTTCAGCAGGTCAGCAGCCAGCAGTCAAGGGGCAGGGGGAGGGGGCAAACCCGAAGGCGCCCACTACGCCTAACGACGCAGGGCAGCACCAATCATCAAGGCGGGGGGGGAGGACCGAGGCCCAGCCCTGTCCCGCACCCTCGCTCCGCCGTCGCCACGCCCTGCAGGCTCGGGAGCGCACGCAGGGCTTGGCCAAACCCCCACCCCAGAGCAGCGAGGCCAGGCCGACTTCTGCGCACTAAGTGCCTGCAGGCCGCGTCTGTCTCCCCCACGGCGCCAGCCCACTTGGTTCCGCTCACCGCCGTCCACGTTACCTAGGAGACGGGCTTGCAGCCCAGGGCTGAGAGCACAGACGCCCACGTTTTCCAAGTAGTCCCTGCAGCACCAGAACCCAAGGGTTCAGTGGCCGGTGCTTGACCGAGCCACAGGCCTCAGAGCCCTCCTAATTGAGGGGTAAGCCCGGCCTGCCGCTAACCTAGATGGGAGCCTCCGACGGCAGAGCGGGTTCTCAGGCTGAGAACCCGCCCCGCGTCCCTTCACTCGTCTGGGACCCAGAGCCAATCAGAGCCCGAGTCCGGGGGCTCCGCTCCAGGAGCGTCAGCCAATCGATGGGGCGGCGGGCCCATCCTGATTTGCATGGACACCGTACGCTAGGCCAATGGGAATGTGATTGGCGTGAACAATACCCAATGAGAAACCCCAAGGGGCGTGGCCGCAGGCGTCCCACGAGGTGAAGATGCTGCGGGCGGAACCTGCAGGAGCGAGCGGGATTCGGGGGGCGCTGAAGTCGCTGGGGCCGGGAGGGAAGGAAGATCCGGAGCGGGGTGAAGGATCCGGAGCTGGAGCCCCCAGGTAAGTACAGGGGAGACCCTAGTGGGCGCGATGCCCAAAGACTTGCGCCCGAAGAGCGGCAGGGAGCGCCGTGGTCCCTCTCGCCCGTCCTCCCGGCCCTGCGTGCCTGCCTCTCCGCCGCTTTTTCACCTCCTCTCCAGCCCCCTCACCTCCTTCTCCTCCGTCTCCCTTCCCCCATCGCATCCTCTCGCAGCTTCCCTGTCGTCCCGCCTGACCTCGGACCTCGGACCTCAAATTCCAGACCCCTGCCCCAAACTTCACCCCTCGCCGGCGTCCCCTCACCTGCTCCTACCGTCCCCAGCCTTGCCTCCCCTTCCCGGCACTCTTCCCGGCCTCTGCGGAGCCCGGGCCGAGCGCTCCCAGCTCCCCGCGCCGGTATTCTGCATCTCTCTCCCGGTCGCTTCTCCGGGCACATCCTTCTGGCTCGCCGCGTGCCCCCATGGCCCTCCAGTCCCTAGCCCCATCCCCTGTCACTCCTTCTACCTCCAGCTCGGGCTCTGGCACGAAGCACCTCCCTACCTGCTGCTGCTCCTGCGGGATGCGGAGCACGGGCTGCTGCACTGCTTCCTGCTGCAGTACCAGCGACCAGGCGCACCTGCCCACCTGCCCGCCCTCCCATCAGGCGCAGCCAGCCAGCTTCTCCTAGCATTTGTCCTGGGGAGGCACCTGCAGGGGATCCTGGAGCACCCTGGGGTGCTCCAAGTACAAAACCCCTCAGCACCCTTCCCTGCCTCGCTCCCTGGCCACCGTCTCCCTCACCACCCCACCCCCACTTTCTGCTCAGCCTCACTTTGTGATTCAGCATTTTTGGGGTTGGTAACTTTCTTTGCTTCCTGGCATGATAGGGACCTGTCTGAAGGCAGCGGGTTTGGACCCTGATATGAGCGGGGTCACCTTCAAAACTGGGCCTGAGCTGCCTGTTTGGGAGAGGGGCCAAAGCAGGGACCTGGCAGTAGGGGTTACCTTTTCCTCTCTTTTCTTTGCCTGCCTTGGTTGAACTGTATCCAAGGAGAGATGACATAAGTAATAGCTCTTGGAGAAATGGGCTATTAGCAATTATGGAAATTAATACATCCACATCCGACAAGCAAGAACACCAAGTTCAGGCCACAGCTGTCCCCCTGTCTGTCGCTTCAGGATTTCTTCTCTCTCTGCAACTTCTCCTCCCCCTCAAATGCCAGCACCCCCCATCGTGCCAAAATGAAGCTCCCACTCTGTTCACGAAGCCGCATCCAGGCCCTGCGCTGCAGGGTTTGGGGACCTGCTTGTGGAGAGTCACATATATCCACCTGATCCTCTCCTGGCAGATGCATCTGACCACTGCAGAGCCCAGACTCAAATGTAGCTCTGGGCTCCTAGTCCTGGGCTTTCACAGTTTGGGGCTCTCAGGGACGCAGTTGGCCCCCCAGGCCTGTCCAGCCCTCTGGATTCCGTCTGAGAGTGTTTGGACTACAGAGCATCCCCACTTGGAAAGCACCCTGAAGCTTTCCCATGTAAAACTGAGGTCCAGCCTTTTCCTCTCCTTGCTACACCAGCCAATAACTGTGTTTGCGTGCGCCGATACAGACCTGGGGACTGAACAATCAGGACTCAGGCAGTGGGTGAAGGGGTGGCGTGGAAGAACCCTGAACTCCTTTTCGTGTCTTTTTAGAGTTCAGAGCCCGTGCAGGTCTGGATGCAGAGCCTGGATGGGAGGAAGCATCCACGGGACCTGGGGCCCACGGGAGATGTGGCATGGTGGGACCAAGGCCAGGTGTGCTGGGGTTCCCCCAGGACAGAGGGCTCTGTGGGCTAGCAGCTCAGGGAAGCTTCATTCCCCTGCACTGGCTTCTTCCTTTCTCTCCTGACCTCTTAAAATCAAATGATTTGGGAGACGTGTGGCGCTGAGCTTTGGTTCCGCAGTTCGGGGGGTTAGGGCGTGGCACGAGGGATGTCTCGTGTTTCTTGGTGCCTGGGCATGGCAACCGGGCAAACAGCCTGCGCCTCGAAGGAAAGCCTGCCGCGTTGTTAGGGCGCTGGGAACACGTTTCAGTGCTCACTGACACCAGCTGGAGCAGCCTGTGTTTGGGCCTTGGCTAAATTCTGTGATCGTCACGTCACGCCAAGTCCCGGAGTTGAAGCTTTGTCTGGGGTCCCTGGGAAGAGTGCTAGAACAGCAAGGAGTAACAGACAGCATTCAGGAAGGGCTGACTTTGGAGGTGTCCGGGGCCAGGGACCCCACCACTCTCCCACACCCTGACTCAGCAGCCAGAGTCTCTCTCCATAGGGCAGAAGACCCTAAAGCCACAGGGTCCTGACATCCCAGCAGCAGAGTGGCAGAGGTTCCTCCAGGCCACACACAGGCAGTGAAGAGCTGGGGTGACCCCGTGCTTTCCACTTCCTGGGCTGTGTCCAAGTCCCAGGAAGGGCTGTTGGGAGAGGGCAAGGGACCACTGGTTATAGAGAATTCTAAGGAACTCCTGTCCTGCCTTGTCTGGCAGAGCCCGAGTACAGGGGCATCACTCACGGCCATCAAGCATAGGGTGGCACACGGGAGCCACATTTACGACCTTCCTTTGTGTCAGGGTCTTTTACATAGGCCTCCATGGGGAAACTGAGGCACTCAGTAATAGTGAGACAGACCCAAGCCTGCCAGCTGGCGAAGGAGCTTCCATTCTGCACCTCCCTGGACTCAGGCAAGGGTCCACTCTGCAGTCTAGTGAGCTCCATGTAGCCCACCATGCTCAGGGCCCTACTCACTGTGCGGCCCTAGCAGGTGCAGGGTCCTCGTATCCCTCCCCACATCCTGGCCAGCCTCCCCTTCCTGGTCCCGCGAGCAATCTCAGCTTTGTAACTCCCATCCCTGCGGGACAGATGCTCAGAAGGCCCAGCCTGCTCTGCCTGATGCTTCGTCCCAGAGATCTGGGAGTACGCTGTGTGGGGTTGTGTGTGTTGCTTGCCACGGTGCTTCCCACCTCCACCACCCCTGCCTGCCGGGCCACCCAGCTTTTCTCCTTCCAGCCCATAGACACCTACAGATCTGATAGCAGATGAAGCAGGACGAGGGAAGGGGGAGTTACAGAGAAAGGGTGGGCCCAGTCCCTCATTTCCCACGCGCTGCGCAGACCTGTTAGAAGGATTCTCCTCACCATGACCTTGCTGAGTGGCTGGATCTCGGCAGCTGAACTGCTGCTGTAACAAGATACCCAAGACTGGGACACTTATAGAGCAGAGGAGTTCACTTGGCTCATGGCTCCGGCAGCTGAGAAGTCCAGAGCACCATGCTGGCGTCTGGGTCACAGCACAGCATGAGATGTCCCATGACCAGGCAGCACAAGCATGTGCTGCTTAGAAAACCTATCTGTGCTGTCCAGGAACACTGACCCTCGCGACCTCACAAATCCTAGTCGCCTCCGAAACCTCTCTCCTCTGAAAGCCCGCCACATAGGCATCAGGAGATTTGGTTTCTAACCAGGGGACGCCTTTGAACTCCAGCGCCCCACATGTGGGTCTGCCCAGATCCCTGCACCAGATTTAAGACAAGTCCGCGTGCCGCCTGCTGGAGTGGCCATTTCCCCAGGGGGAGGGCCACTTCCGGGGTGCTGTGGGTCGCAGGTTTTGTCAGCAGCTTGTAGCAGCCAGGTAGCTTTGTTCCTTCATTTGCCTGGAGTGGCGGAGCAGCTCCTGTCCTTCGAGACCTACCCCAAGCAGACCCATCCAGATCCTAGCCAAGCACTCCAAAAAGCACAGCAGCTAGAGTTTCCTTCATTGTTTCAGGTCCCCACTTATAGGACCTGGAGGGGAACATGGGAGAACCCTGGCCAGCTACTTGCAGGGTGAGAGACCAGAGAGGACCCACGGGTCCCCCCCAGTCTGCTTCCCTTGCCTCCAGCCTGTTTGAGCACTGCTCTGCCCACCTGCCTGACCCCAGGGGCTCCAGCACGGAAGGGACTGCTGCAGACCTTCTCCCCCAGCATAACCCACCCTCACCGCCCATTTGCCTTGTCCATCCCTCAGCAGCTTCCTGGTCCTTCGAGGAACTTAGGCCTGATGTCCACCAAGAAGGAGCCCTGCCATCCTGAACTCAGTGAGCACTGGGGCTTCCAGAAGGCGTATCCTCCCTGCCCCTTCTAGGTGTAGTGACAAGATGCCAGACAGGGAGAATCCGATGAAGCCATGCAGTAGAAAACAAATTGAAATGTAGACATTGTTTGCAACCTATGAATGCCAGTGAGAGGAGAGGTCTTTGCAGCAGATATCTGAAGGGCCAGTGACAAGCAAGGGCCACTGAGCTCTGGCTTCTGAGGACATAGAGCCAAGAAGGGGTGCAGTCGCTGCAGAGAAACTGCTAAAGGGGCAAGGGGAGTAGAGATGTTTGATGGAGACTTGGACAGGACTGTGATAAGCAGAGGGGAGAGAGACAATGCCACAGAGGGGGGACCGGGAGCCTCCCGCTCTTCCCACAAGGAGGTAAGGCAGAGGAGGGACGCCCTGACCAGCAGCAGCTCACTGGGACCTGGGGGTGGCTACTGATCACCCAGGGTCACAGCCTGGATGTGGACAAAGCCACCTGGGAATCAGGGACAGGAGTGAGGAATGTGGAAGATACCCAAAGGAAAGGCTGCTAGTGCAGGACCTGGGGGAAGGTGGAGGTCAAGACTGAAGGTTGAGGACTACTCCAGGCCCGGGAGGGC